GAAGCTCCCTTGCAATGACCTTTTTCCCACAGAGAAGCTGCAAGCCTGGGACATGTTATTGCTGTCATTTCTGTATGTGGATAAACCTGACCCCCCCCAAAATGTGTTGGGGCTTGGGTCCATGAATTCAGTTCCTGTTCCTTGGGGGGGAATTGTGGCAGGGAGGACCCTCCCTTTACTCTCAGCCAGGCTCTTGAGTTGATGGTGCCTGTTTAGGAAAAACACATTTGGGGATGTGCACATTCTGCAGATCCTGGGTAAAAGCTGGGTTGGTCCCACACTGAGAGCATGGGGTGCCTGGGGGGAGCAGCTGCTGGCTTGGGCTGTGATCTGCCATGCCTGTCACCTGCATTTCTCCCTTCAAACTGAGACTTTCTGTGCCTCCATAAGATGAGCTGTATCTTCACAGGGCAGCATTTCTCTTCTTTTCCCAACCTCCAAATGTCCTTTGAAGCTCCTTTTGCAGGTTTCCTGGCAGCCAAGGATGTCCTGATTGCACTGGACCTGTTTTGGGGATGGAGATCAGGAAAATGTCCCTTGAACTGGTGCCAACCCATCCCAGTTTTGCCCTCACTCATGTCACTGGCTCTGCTGTGTGCTGCTGCACAGGCACGAGCGGATTGGGGAGCACGGTGCCACATGCTGGGAAAAGCAAAGAGCTCCAGAGGAAAATACATTTTTGGAAAGGATGCATTTATTTGCCTTTATTTATCTTCCTAAAGCTTTCAGATTAATCTTTTTGATCTTCCCTCTGCAGCTGCGTGGCCAAGGTTTGGTTTCTTTCAGCTGACATTGTGCTGAGAGCACACAGCATTGCAAGGGGGGTGTTAAGGAAGGGCAGCAGAATTCCTTTGCTCTGGAGAGGGGCGGTGTGTCGAGCTAACTTTAGTAAGGAGCTACTAAAAAGGGATGCAATAAAAGTATATTAAAAATAGCAAATGGCTGTAGAAAGTGGATGTGAGACTCTCAGTGTCCCTTCTTGTGCCGAGAGAAACGTGGGGCTGGAAAAGTGACAAGTTATGGAGCAGTGCAGAGCACCCCGCTGCTTGTGCAAAGCAAAGGTGAAACCACTTAGAAGTAGGTGAAATAGATCAGAAGTTTGCACAGTAGATAAAAAAAATCCAGAAATAAAGACTTGAAAGAGATATCAGCTCCTCTGTGTCCTCAGCTCTCGGAGCTGGGGATTCAGCCCCCCAGATTCCTTGTTTTGTAAAAACATCTCCCAGCTGAGATTCCTCTGCGCTTTTTCTTTCTTCCCCCATTTGCAAAATGCTAACTCTGCTCTCTCGCCTGTCTCTCCAATTTGGAGCAATTTACTGGGAGCCGGGGATGAATTACTCAGCACAGAGTTAACCAGCACCTGCTCGGAGTTAATTGGCATGTGTGCTAATTGCCGTGATAGTCACACTTGTGCGAGCGGAGCGCAGGGAGGGGGAGCGGGCGCTGGCGGCTGCCTCCAGCCCAGAGCTTCTCCTGCTGAATTCCCTGATCCTGCTGGGATTCCTGCCAGGGGAAGAGGGTCAGGGTGGCTTTTTTCCAGCAGATTTGCAGGTCCCTTTCCGTGCCCTTGGACCCTCCTTGTCAGGGTGTGGTAGCTGGGATGCTTGGTGGTTTCCTTGGAAAACGAGGCTCAGGGGAAAGGAAGAAGCTGCTGTCTGAGAAGGAGGAGATGATGATTTAATGAGTGGGGTTATTGTATATAGAATCACTTGAGACCCCAAAAGTGAGAAGTTGTTTAGGAGCTCAGCTCCTTGCAGCAGTCCTGTGCTCTGGGTGCTTGGCTGTGCACGGTTCAGGTGCTTAAATTCCACCTGATCACGGAGGAAGGTCGTGGGTGATCTTGGTGCCTCAGGCTGGGCAATGAGGGAGCCAAAGCAATTTGGTGGTGAAGGAGAGGGAGCTCCAGGGGCAGAGGGGATCCTCCTGGCTTGGGGCTGAGCCACAGCAGGAGGGACAGGAGAAATGAGGGTGGCTCTCCAGGTTTCTTGCTCTTCCAGCTGCTGTTCAGAAACTCAAACCAGTGGTTGGACTTTCTGAAAGAGCCACCTGGGCAGGAAACGTGAAAATACCTGGGTTTAAAAATACAGTGGGGAAAAAACCCAACCTAAAAACAAATAAACTCACCCCCAAACCCCAATTCCATGAAGAGAAAAGGGAGAGGTTTGAAATCCTCTCTGTCAGGTGCATTTGGAGGACAGCAAACTTGCTGTGGTCTTCTCCATCCCTCCTCTTCACCCCATCCAAGGGCTGCCCTCCCCATGGGGTGTTTTCCTTCTCATGCAGGGCAGAGGGGTCAAGAGCATCACATGGCAGCTCCTTTTCTCCCCATGATGAAAGCAAAAACCTGTTAAGTCATCTTTTTTCCTGTGGAAAACTTTATCCAGCAGCATGAGCAAACCTTGAGGCTGGGTACCATGGTCCCCCATCCAGCCAAGGTGCTGAGGATGCAGAGTCAGGATTCAGAGCAGCAGGAGGAACCTGGTTTGGTGGTTGAAAAAGGGGATTTGGTTTGAAACACTTGGGGTGTGTTTGTGGCCTGGGGAGAGGAATGTGGTTTGAATCCCACTGCTCCCATGCAAGAAACACCAGCTGGTGTGGAGCTGAGGGCAGGCATGAGCAGCCCTGGGGTTTTTTCCTCATCCCTACAAACATCCCATCTCTTCGAGCACTGTGCAGCTTTTGGCTGCCATAGCATCCTGTGAACAAGTCCCACAACAAAATTGTGTTAAAATATGTTTCCTTTCACTCAGTTTAAATTTACTGCCCGTTGTTCTCCAGTGTTTATTGTTGCTTCTGGAGAGTTCCTCTCTGGTTTGGACAGTAAATCCGCTGTCTTTCAGAGGGTTTCTCTGTCCAAGAGCTGCAGCACACGGAAAGAATTAGCATCTTGCCCTGTGTCTGGTTGAGGAGCTGTTGCTACTTTGTGCTGCTGCTGGTGGTTTTGAAGATGCTGAAGGTGAATATTTTTCAGTCAGTTTAGAGAAGTGGCAACTCTGTGGGGAAAAGCAGCAAAGCAAACCCGACAAAAAGTTCCTGCTCTTCCAAAGTTTCTTTGTGTGTGCAAAATCCTCGCCTTGGTTCCGAGCCTTTGGGCTCTGGGTTCTCTCCTGGGTGGGCTCACAGTGAGGGAAATACCAAGAGGACACTCCAGGTGGATGAAATAAAAATCCTCGTTTTCCTTTTGGCTCTTCCTGTATCACAGTGAGGGAAATATCAAGAGGACACTCCAGGTGGATGAAATAAAAATCCTCGTTTTCCTTTTGGCTCTTCCTGTATCACTGCCCTTCGAGGGATACTCACATGGTGTGAGCTGGGGCAGTGATGCTCTGAAACTGGTGATGCTCTAGAACTGCTGATGCTCTGGAACCTCTATTTTTGGGGCTTCCCATGGTGGGATGGGGAGCAGCAGCCAAAGGATATGCCTCTGGCACCGGCTCAGTGTTCCCCATGGTGACAGTGCTCCTCACAGCTGGATGGTTGCTCCTGTTTGCTGCTGGGATGGAAACATGCACCTGTTTTGGTAAATAATGTCTCAAGTGTTAAATGCCATCCTGTGTGAACTGTCCTTGCAAAGAGTCTTACTGATGGGATTTATGGATGAAAAACCGAGGTTTTGCTGCCCTTTGTCTCTCTGGTAATCTTCCTGGCCTCCCCATTCCTCATCCTCCCTGGAGAGCAAATTGTGGATGTCAGGATGGGGAAAAGACTCCCTGTTCTCCTCGGGGCTCCTCCGACTTGCACTGAACCACAGAACATGATGCACGATGAATAACTTTACCCCAAAAAAAGGCAGAGAAGAAGATTAAGTGACTCACATGACTCAGTGAACCCCAGAAACAAGTGTGGGAGTGAGACCATTCGGGCTTGTTTGTTGGAGCATGGTCTGATGAGGAGGTGAAGGATGGGGCCATGGTCTTCAGCAGGGTCTGGGTGTGCTCTGGGGTGGGAGAGGAGCTGGAGGACCTTGGTCAGGTTGGCTGTGGCTGCTTTGAATTTGGGATATAGGTTTGGGAGAAAAAGCTTTTGGGTTTTTTAATGCTTTTTGTGACAAGATCGAGGGCTGGGGACTGCCAAGTTGAGGCAGATAGGAAGCTATTTTGGGACTGGCTTTTCCCTTTGCCTAGGTCTTGGCACAGGGCACCTTGCCTTAAATGCAATGTTATCACTGCTGTTACCCAGCTGCTCACAGAGAGAGCAGGGAGAAAGCCATACCTGTGGAAAATGAACTGGCTGAAGTTCCCTCTTTGTCCCCTCGCTGCAGTGCAGCACACGCTGGAAACGGGGTGAGATGGGCTGGGGGCTGTGCCAGGAGGTGCCCTGGGACATCTGGGTGCAGCCTCTGGTGCTGGGGGATGCAGGTTACCATGGGGAGGCTGCAGAAGGAGCCCCTGAGACCTGCAGAGCTCATCCCTTTGGGGAGAGCTTTGGGCACAAGATAACTCCTAGATCCATGGAAACACCCGGTGTCCGGCTGTGGCTGAGCCCCGTGGAGGGCCAGGCTGTCTCAGCTGCCTTCAGAGCCCTCCTTCCCAGAAGAATTAGGTTTCTGTGCCTGGCTATAAGGTTCCTTTCAAGTAATCAAATAAAGACATTTTAAAATTCCAAATTGGAGATCAGTGCAGAAACTGGAGACGGATTTAAATTGCCCGAGCTAATCACCAGCCACTCGACTGCTTATGACTTTATTAAGAGAAAAAAAAAAAAATGTCTGGAGTGTCATGGAGGAGCAGTGATTCACGGGCTCGCTGCTGCCATCTCCTCCTCCTCACCCAGCATCGTGTGTCCTGGGTGTTCCTGGCCTCCATCCCTGGCCTTCTTTGAGACCAGTTTGCAGAAATCCCTCTGCAGCTCTCCTGGCCCAGAGCTGGGTGGGCGAAAGAAGCAGAGCCCACCCTGGCTGGGGGGTGGGATCTGGCTGGCACTAGAAGGATGACAGGGGGGTGCTGGGTCCTGGATGGGTTTGGAAACAGAGTCTCACTCCTGTCTCTCTCACTGTGCAGGTTTCTGACATCTCAGCCCCGCTGGATCTGGCCACGCGTGACGGTACCATGAACTGAGCACGGAGCCGCACGACTCTTTTTTTTTTTTTTGTTTTGGCTTTTTTTGGGTTTGTTTTCCGGCCGAGAAAAAAGCCCCCCGCGCTCTTTAATGAAAGCATTCTAAAGTGGGGTTAGTGCTCCCCTCCCCTGAGCCGAAGTGGTGCCGGGTGTGGCGAGGATTTCCCGAGAAGATGGGGAGAAAAAAGATCCAGATCCAGCGGATCACGGACGAGCGCAACCGGCAGGTCAGTCTGTCTGTCCCGGCTCCCTCACCTCACCCTTCTTCCCTTGGGGGTTTCAAAATGACCCATTTCCATCCCACTTTGGGCCACCAGAGCTGTGTTTTTGCCAATCCATAAAATAAGCAGAGGCTTAGGCCGGATCCAGGCGGATCCAGGAGCAGGCAAACGTTGCTCTGCCCCCATCCAGGCGTTGCTCCTCGCCTTGGAGCTCCTTGAGCCGTTTCCATCTAAGTGCTTTTCCAGAAGAAAGTATCTTCTCCACTTAGTTAGTTCCCCCTTTTTTCAAATTTATTTTTGTCTTGCAGAAAATATATTTCAGTTGACATTTTTCCATGTGGTTTTTCCAATAAAAAACAGCCACAACAAGTATCCATTTTGCTGAACGCAAACAACTCAAATTATTCCCTTTTTTTCCCCCCCTCAATTGTAGACTTAAATGACTCCAGGGCTTTTTTCCTTGGGCTCTCTTGAAGCCAAGCCCGAGACACGCATGTGCATGTGTGTAGGAATGCATTCATGTATCTCAGAGGAAAAACAAAAACCAGCAGATTTTCCCCAAATTTCCATGTTCCTTAAACTGAAGTGGTGGAGCAGCAGCACTTTGCCAGCCCAGGTTTGCTCTGGGATGACTCTGTCGATGTATTTCCCATTACCACAAGACTTCCAGGCAGGTCCCTTTGCTTTTTGTGCTCCTGGAGTTTGGCTCAGCAGATCCAAGCTCTGCCTTTAGTCCAGCCACTGCTGCACCCCAGCATGACCTGCCACACTTCTTCCCTGCCACTTGCACTCCAGAAAAACCAGTAAAAAAGCATGTGAATATAATCCTAATCCTTAAAGAGTGTCAAAAAGCAGAACTGGATGAACCACTTTGTTGTTCCACAGCAAAACAATAGGAAATGGCAGGTTTTCCTCATTATAGCTTCACTTGGTGGTGGGGGCTGGGGTGGGCATCAAACAGTTTCTGCTGATGTCCCAGTTGCTCCTGAGGTTGTTTATATCCATCATGAGGAGGAAACAAGGCCTTAGGGGGGTTATTGAAGGATCTGGAGTGTATTTTATGGGGCAGTGGTGCAGAGGGCACTGAGGGATCTGCGGTGACTGGAGCCTTGCTGGAAGTTCAGACAAATGGAAAATAATTGGTCATGCTGGAGGGGGATGCCTGGATAGACCTTGGGGGAAGGAAAGAGGCACTTCTGTGCAGAGGCAGCAGCTGAGTGATGGGACTGTTTCTGAGGGATGAGCTGCTCTTCAGCCCTGCCTGGAGATAAAGACCCTTGCTGAGGTCTCACAGCCTTGGGTGGGATTTGGCAGCAGGAGTTGCTTTGTGTGGCTGGGTGTCATGGCTTTAATGCATCTCTGATATCAGGTGTCCCCAAAATCCAGTTCCCCGGGGTGGGGGACACTGGTTTTCCCTGGCTGGGCTGGTTCTTCCAAAACCCAGCACGGGAGCGTCGCTCTCTGCCCCAGTGCAGCACATCTTGCTTTGCTTCCCAGAAAGCAGCCTGATCAAATTGGGTGTCAGCAAAGCAGCAGCTGTTTAATTGGCCACCAGCACAGCTTTGCAATCAATTTTCACTGCTGCCTTTCTTTGGGAAAAAAGGACATGCCAGGAAGATGGGACATTTAATGAAAAAGGACTGCTCCAGGCAGTGGGGTCTGCTCTATCCACTGTGGTAGGAGCTGTAAAGAGGGGGAGAAGCCTTTTGCTCCACTCTCCTGCTCCATGCTGTGCATGTGCAATGCCAGCTCTCCCCAGAGTCAGAAGTGTCCCATATTGCTTTGTCTCATAGAATCATGGAATGGATTGGGTTGGAAGGGATCTTAAAAAGTCCATCTTGTCCCACGCCCCTGCCATGGGCAGGGACACCTTCCACTATCCCAGGTTGCTCCAAGCCCTGTCCAGCCTGGCCTTGGACACTTCCAGGGATGGGCAACCTGTGCCAGGGCCTCTCCCCCCTCACAGGAAAAAATTCCTTCTAATATCCCATCTAAATCTCCCCCTTTTCAGTTTAAAACTATGCCTCTTGTCCCACCACTGTCTACCCACGTAAAAAGTGCCTCTGTCTGTTTGTTAAGCCCCTTGAAGTGCTGCAAGGCTGCAGTGAGGTTCCCCCAGAGCCACCTCTGGCTTCTCCCTCTCCTTCCCTCCCTCTCCTGCTGTTGCTGTGGATCAGGGATGAGGAGCTGATGCCTGCCTGCCTGCTGTGGCTGCAGGCTGCCAGCTAGTCTGGCTTAAACCCAGTCTGGGAGCATCCTCAGCCCTCCCCCTGCTCTGGCTGGGGGCAGGGGGCATGGTCAGCTCTCCTGAGCTGCTGCAATGTGGGGCTGGCTGCCCCAGCTGGGCTGGGCACTGTCCTTGGCATGCCCGGGTGGCTCCTTGGCATGCTGGGGTGGAGAGGAGTGGGAATAGTGCAGGGATGCCCTGCAGAATGAGGGATTCACCAGTGGTGGTGCAAGGAGGTGGAGGCAGAGCTGCTTTTGACACCTTTGTTTGCACTGGGGCTGCCAAGTTCATCCTGAGCAGGGGCTTGGGGCTGCTGAGCATCACAGCTTCAGGGGGAGCTGAGGCTGAGCAGGGGCTCCTCCAGAGCCTTTGCTGCCTTTGCTCTTCCCCTGCATCTCCCACTGAGCCTGCAGCATCACCTGACCCTGCTCATCTCCCAGGTTTTGGCTCCCGTGGGGGCACAGACCACGAGCCCACATGAGGCACCAGCAGGACCTGGAGCTGCTGGAATGGGTTCAGAGGAGGCCACGGAGATGCTCTCAGGGCTGGAGCACCTCTGCTCTGGAGCCTGGCTGGGGGTGTTCAGCCTGGAGAAGGCTCCACGGAGATCTAAAGGGGCTCTGGAAAGCTGGAGAGGAACTTTGGACAAAGACCTGGAGTGATAGGACAAAGGGGGAATGGTTTTAAACTGAAAAGAGGGAGATTTAGATTGGATGTCAGGAGGAAATTCTTCCCTGTGAGGGTGGGGAGACCCTGGCACAGGGTGCCCAGAGAAGCTGTGGCTGCCACATCACTGGAGGTGTCCAAGGTCAGGCTGGGCAGGGCTTGGAGTAACCTGGGATAGTGGAAGGTGTCCCTGCCATGGCAGGGGGTGGGACAAGATGAGCTTTTAGATCCCTTCCAACCCAAACCAGTGTGTGATTCTGTGAATTACAGCAGCAGCCAAAACCAGAGGAGGAGAGCAAGTAAGAGTCACTAATGTCATTAGAGGAATTACTGGAGAGGATTTGCCACAACAGATCAGGCCATCAGTCCTTCAGGGCCAGGCTGCTGACTCTGGCAACTGCCAATATGGTTTACATCAGGGGAAAGGCAAAAAATCCCCTGCTAGTGTGGGGCAGTAATTCCTTCCTGACCCCTTTGGTGATCGGCTTATGCCCTGAAGCATGAGATTTGATTACCCTCTTAGACTTACAAGGTTAATTCTTCTAGATGAGGCTCATGCACAGCGTCAGGGAAGGTTGGAGGTTTCTGTCCCAGGTCATGAGTGGATGCACAAAGCCCTGTTAGGTGATGCTTTTGAGTGATGTGGTAGCTAAATGGCAAATCTTTGCTTTTCTCTGCAAGATGCAGGGGTGCCAATAGAGAGGGATGCTCTGTCTGCAGAGGAAATATCCCTTCATCTCTAGAGGGATCATTTGGTGGTTTGTGTTCTGCTGGGCTCTGCCCAGGTTCCTGGTTGATTTGGAGAAGATGACCCCACGCTCTTCACTGCTCAAGGGCAGAACCCAAACCATGCTTGTCACTGCTCTTCAAGGCCAAGAGCTGCCCCACTGTTTGGACCCCACGTCTCTGCCTCACCCCACTGCCCCCAGCCTTGGTGGCTGAGCCCTTCTTGGTGCCCAGCAAGGTGGGGTTTGGCCGAGTGTCCCTGGCACTGCTGGCTGCAGGAGCAGCCCTGGGCTGTTTGTTCAGGTGGAGACCACATGTTTTCCTCCTGGGGGCTCCTCAAGCTCCTTGGAGGGTCGGTCAGAGCCTGGAGAACACTCCAGCAGGGACAGCAAGACAGGTCCTGCTGGGGAAGGGGACAGGGAGACAGGTCCTGCTGGGGAAGGGGGCAGAGACAGGTCCTGCTGGGGAAGGGGACAGGGAGACAGGTTTTGGTCTTAGAGCCTGTCCTGCCACAGCTGCAGGAGCAGAAGCACAGCTGGGTCCCACCTGGAGTCAGTGCGGCCACGGCTGGGCTGTGGCACTGCCAGCTCCCGGTGTTGGGCGCTGCCCACCAGCAGAGGTTTTGGGTGGCTGAGAAGTCCAGAATGAGGGGAGGGGGAGCTGTTGGTGACACGGGAGCTGGCCCTCAGGTGATTTGGTTTGCAGCAGAGTGCCCTGGGCTGGGCAGTGCTGGCAATGTGAGCGGCCAGAGCAGCGCACGTGGCGGCCACGGCAGCACAGGGACCAGCCCTGCACTTCCCAGGGGCTGAGACGATTAGAGCTGAATCTCATTACTGCCTAATTATCTCTGGGAGATGGTGGGGAGGGGTAGCAGCTTCCCTTGCCAAGTGTGCCCAGAGCTGCCCCTGCTCTGCCCTCCTGCCGCATGTGGGGACATGGTTTTGTCTCGAGGGGTGCAGACCCTGAGGGTGCATTCTGGGTGCTGCTGGTTGCTCCACGGACTGTGGCTGTGATGCCACTGACAGGCTGAGCAAAGGCAGCAGCCTCATTCACTCTCCTCCCTCAGCTCTGTGAATTAAAGTGTTCAGTTGCAAAATAGATGCTGTGGAGGAGGCCCAGAGTGGAGTGGAGCCTTCCCATGTGGAGAGGGGGCAGGTCTTGGCACCCAAGGGCATCTCAGCTCGTCTCCAGCCCTTCCCCTGGAGGCTGCTTTGCCCCCAGAGCAATGCTTAGCACAAAGCTCTGACCTCCTGCATCTTATTTTCTACTTCTGCTTTTGATTTGCTCAGAGGGCATCGGCCAGGCGTCGTGCCTTCCCCATCAGTGTGCTGTGTGTTCTGGGGGTGGGGACCCTCAGCAGCTGTCTGCACTGCAGCCGAGCCAGGGAGCCCCAAACCAGCTCCTTCTCCAGCAGCTGGGTCCTGTTAGGAGTGTGGTGCTGAGAGCTGAGCGTGGGCTGGGAGTCGCAGCCCAACGTCTGCCCGGCAGCTGGAGCTGCTGTTGGAGCCAGCACCCAGCCCCAGTCCTGGCCCCAGCCCTCCAGGATCACTCCTGCTCTGGTTACAGCTCAAGGCAGGGCGGGTTGAGGAGGCAGGGGACCCCAGTTGGGCAGGCAAGGAAGGAAAACACCCCAGTGAGGTCACACAAAAGGAGGACAGCAAGGTGAAAGTGGCAGCTGGGTGGGCCCCTGGCACAGGGGGGTTCGTGGTGCCCTTGGGGAAGCACAGGCTAGTGGGATAAGTGGGGGCTGGTGAGCAGGAGAGTGGGTCAGAGGTGGGGTGGGCACCCCTGGGTGGTTTTGGGGTGCTGAGCCCCAGCTCTGTGGCCCCCAGGGTTGGGCACTCGCAGTGCAGCTGCAGCAAGCGAGGACAAGATCTCCATCGCTTGAATATTCCACTTAAAAACCCGCAGCCCCCGGACAGATGGCAGCTCTGCTGGGGATTTTGCTGAAATTTATTTTCTCTTGATTTGGCAATATGTGATTTCCAACGCTGATAATCATCTTTGTGCTTGTGAAGTGTCTGCCTTTGGAGGATCCCAAAATAGGCAGCAATATGAACCGTTTGGAAGAGAGGCGAGAGAGGAGAGCTTGGGGTTGGGTCCAGTTGGGGAAACTGAGACAGAATATTCCTTCTGCATTCCCCTTCCTTTTGCTCTTCCTCCTGTGGTCATTCCATTTTTCTCTGGGAGCTCTTGGGCCTGTGGCAGCATGGACACAGCTTCTCACCGTGCTGTCCTTGCTTTCAGGTGACCTTCACCAAGCGCAAGTTCGGCTTGATGAAGAAAGCCTACGAGCTGAGCGTCCTGTGCGACTGTGAGATCGCCCTCATCATCTTCAACCACTCCAACAAGCTGTTCCAGTATGCCAGCACCGACATGGACAAGGTGCTGCTCAAGTACACCGAGTACAACGAGCCCCACGAGAGCCGGACCAACGCGGACATCATCGAGGTGAGGCCGCCCGGCCGCTCCCCGGCTGTGCCACCAGGGTGGAGCCAGGGCTGAGTCTGGTTCCACACTGCATGCAGGGAGGGGACGGGGCAAGCACATCTCCCACACTCAGGTGGATTTTATATGGTTTTGGTTCAGCCCATGAAAATACTCTGTTCTGGGTGGTCGCGTTGAAGCCGTCTCCAGTTGTGCGGTGACCTGAAACTTGAGGTGCAGGTTTGTTCTGTGGACCACGCTGTGGAATCCAGGCAAACCACGAGGTGGACTTGGAGGCAGCTCCTGGGGCTGCTGCTGGAGTGCCTGGTGCAGCTGGTGACAATGTTCTGAAGTACCTGGTACAGCTGGTGACATTGCCCCCACCTGATACTCAGACAGGCACAGCGGGGTTGTGGGAGGGCACCAGTGGCTAAATTGCAGGGGAATTCAGGTGGGATGGACCAGGTGGGATGGTCCAGGGCCTGCTCAAAGCATGGCCAAGCTCATGGGCTGGTGGGTTTGCTCAAGGCTTGTCTGGCTGTGTTTTGTGGGTCACCAGGGATGGCCTGACCATACTCAGTCTGACCCATCCCCAGCACTGCCCCTGGCACCATGCCCAACCTGTGCTCACTTCAAGGCTGCTGGCATTGCAGGAGATGCTCAGCTGCCTTCTGCTGGTGGTGCCCCCACGCTGGCCCTGTGCACAGCTTTGTCCTTGTCCCTGGTGCTGGCAGAGCATTGCTGAGCTGGAGCACGGGGCACATTTGGCTGTCAGGACAGTGCCAGCAGTGTCATGGGTCACATCCTCTCCCTCAGCAGTGGCTGTGCAGATGGAGCTGCAGGGTCCTCAGCAAGGGGGCAGCTGCCATTAAACCTGGACAGACAGGCAAATGAAGGGCTTGACTTTGTAATTAGTGGCATTATGGGCATCACTTAATGCCCTCAGAGCCACTGGTGGCAGAGTGGAGCAGCACGGTCTGCACTGCTGGAGGAATTGGGCTTCTGCTTTTGCCTTTGAATTCCTTTGGTGCCCCTTGGCCAGGGTGCTCACGCTTTGATTTCATGAAGAAGAAGGGAAAAAGCCCAGCCTGCCTCTACCCCCCAAAATCTTCCTTTCTTTTTCTTTTTTATGCTCTGTAAAATGTGTCTTTTTGAGAGATTTGGACTTGAGATGTTCACCCCGTGGCTGAGCCAAGCATCTCGCAGCATCTGCCTTCCTTTGCTGGGCTTTGGAGACTCCTGCCACAGCACAGTTGTGTAGGGGCTTTGAAAATGATTCCAAAATGTCCTTTTTGGCCAGTTTGAGGCAGGTCATGCCCCTTTGCTGTGCAGATGCTGGCAGTTCCATGTCTCAGCCTCTCCGGGATGCTCAGCCCGCGCTCGCAGCATCGAACAGATTTGTCTTGGCCTAAAAATACCATAAACATTTTGGGCAGCGTTCTCTGTTCCCTTATGGTCCAAGATGCAAACACTCCCAAGCCGACAAGTTACACACAGTCCTTGGCACCCAAAGAAACACTGTGTTTGCACCACATGAAAAGCTGGATCTGCATCCAAAGCCGAGGAGAGGAACATCGGGAGCGGAAGGATATTGGTGCATGGCAAGAAAAAGAGCCCAAACACGCCGGGCTCGGCATGGCTTGCTGGCAGAGCTGTCAGGGAGCAAAACCTGCTGGGGTGCAGACAGGTTTGGAGGCTGCTCAAGCATCCTTCTTCATCCTTGTCTTGTCTGGGAGCAGGGTTGGGGCTGCTCGAAGATTTTTAGTGTTTTCTGAATCCATGCCCCCAGGAACCTTTCCTGCTCTTGGTGCTGATTTCTGTTTCCCCTCGCCCAGGTCAGGTTCCAATAGCCCAGCTGTGTCCCCACTGCACACAAATGCAATTTGTCTCCTGTTTCTTGGTGGCTCCCAGTTGAACTTGACTCAGAAAAAGTATCTTCTCATTCTGGAAGCTTCCCCACATTGAGCGTTTAGAGACTGAAAACCCAGGCTGGGAATTTGCCACCAAATGTGATTTTAAGTGGATTTCAAGGGGCTGCTGCATCAACCCACCTTCCCTGTGATGTCTGCCTGCCTTTCCTGCTGAGGGATTCGGCCCTGAGTGGCTCTGGCAGCATCTCAGGAAGGATGAGGAGCAGCCAGGACCTGGAGGAATTGAGGCAGGAGCTTCTTGATTTTGTTTTTCTGGTGGAAGGAGAGCGAGCAGTGGCTCTGGAGGGCTAAGCCGAGCACTGCCAGCCTGGGGGCTCCTGGGGCCAGCAGCACTGGTACCACAGCTCAAGGCAGCGTGAGTTACTCTGTCCAAATTACATTTTAAAACGACAGTAAACATGAGATCTCCTGGTTTTTGGCCCTTGGGAGGTGCATCTGAGGCTGAGACTGGAGCACCCCATCCCATGCTGCACAGGAATGTCCTTGAGGGGTTTACCCCCTGGATATCTAGCGAGAGGCAGAGCTGCTCCATGCTGAGCATACCCAGCCCTAGCTCAGGAGGGGTTCCACACCCCAGCTGCCTTTTGGGGACCATTCCCTGTGGGCCCCCCCCGTGTTTCAGCTGTGCCAGTGCTCAGCAGTGGCTGTCAGGAGCGGGATTCAGCCACACAACCCCCACGGCTTCTCCGTGCCCGGCAAAGTCCTGGTTATTGCAGGCTTTTAAGTCTGAGAAAATCTCTCTAATGCAAAGAGGGGGGTTTCCTTAATCAGGAGGGGGCCAGCTGAGCCCCCAGACAGGCACGCTGGGTGCCACGTGCCCGCCCGGCCGGGGATCACGCCGGCTTTGGTCCCCGCTGTCGCTTCTTGTTTCCTCCCAGCCTGGCTGACGTGCCAGCTCCTGATGAGGGACTTGGACAGAGCAGAGCTCGCCGGGCACCAGGATGCTCCACAGCCACTTAAAGGCACACAGCTGTTTCTGCCCTTGCCTTGGCTGAGTGTTCTGGAGGGGCTGATTTTCCCCGGATTCGCTTTCCTGGGGTTGTCATTCCCCCCGGGATGTGTTAAATCAGACATTTTGCAGGATGCTGGGGAGGTGGTGAAATGCAGGGGCAGCTGCCAGTGTCAATGTCTTCATCCTCATTCTCATCCTTATCCTCATCCAGACTTCCCCAAAGCCCAGAGTGGTTGAGTCTCCCTCCTCTAAGGGAAGTCAACCGCATCCTGGTCGAGCATTGTTTCCTCTCACATGTTCTGCATTTCCTGCTGCTCTCTTACCCTCTCCAGGTTGGAAATCTGCTCCCATGTGAGCTGCAGTCATGGAAGTGAGAATATTGCCTGGAAAAGCAGGATGTGCACTGGGTCCTGGTAGAATGGGGGGGCCTGAGCATGGCAGGGGGGAGAGGGGCAGGTGATGACAGAGGTGGGCTTTGCGATGGGAAATTCTCACCCTGGTTCTCTCTGAAAATTTTCTGCTGTAAAGGAATTGCTTTTACATCTCTACCATATGAAAAACTGTTGTGTTCTGCTGGCTGCAGCCCAGTGACAGAAAGGTTTCCTGAAAACCTCTCTGCATCTTCTGGTTTTTTCCCTGGCAAAAAGAAAGAGGAGGAACAAGAAGGAAAGTTCTTTTCTAAAAGGCCTTGCAGAGATCCCGAAAACAGGAATCCTTGGGTTTGATTCCCGCTCCAACAGAATTGTTTTCCTTTTACATCATCTCGACAAAAAGCTAAAAATATGGGATGCACATTTTTTTTGGTAAAAAAAAACGCGAAAGAACCAGCAGTCAACGCCTGTATGGCTGGAAATGGCATTTTGTTGTCCCCAAGCTCTCGTTGAGCAGCAGATTGCTGCAAGCCACGCTGCCTTGGCTCGTGTCCTGCTGCCACCCCGGCCCGGTCACTCCCCGCCGCCGGTGCTTCCCGTCCCACTGTGCTGCAGATCAGCCCCGTGCTCAGCCCTGGAACTTGTCCCCATCCCCTCTGTCCTGGCTCAGGGCAGATTTGGGAGAGAACACCCAGAGGGGCTCCTCTAGAAAAGCAGATTCAATTGGCGCCTCTCCCCAACCGGTTCGGGAGAAAATACCTCCTTGGAGAACAGTGGAAAAAAACCTGTTTATTAAACAATAAACCCTAAACAATATTAAACAATAAAACCTCTTGCTGCTCCAAAAGAGGTGACAAACTCAGAAAGTCCCTCCGTGGGCTGCAGCTGGGCTCACTCAGTCTCTGATCAGTCCCTCGGTGCTGGAAACGCCGCGGCCCAGGCCCGGCCAGGGGCCACAGGTGGAGCTGCTGCTGCTCTGCTGGCTTCAGGCCAGAGCAGGTTTGAACAGGTCCAAGACAAAGAAAAACCACAGTCCAGGGAGCGTCTCTACCTCAGCTAGCTAAAAACTAACTAAAAGCAAAGGAGAGCTCTGTCCCGCTGTCTGTCCATCTGCAGACAGCACAGTCCAGGAGCAGGAATGTGGAGGAGTGAGTGCAGTGTCTGAAAACAAACTGCGGCTTCTTCCTCCCCCTGCACTCCCTGGACAAGTCTTAAAGGTGCAAAACTTATTATTCAGCATAAACAGAACAGACAATTGGGGATAAAAGCATCCTGTAGTCAACCCAGGACACCTTCCCTGCAGCTCCTCACAGTGTTATGGGTCACAGTCCCGGCCCCAAGGTCACAATCCCAGCTCAGGGTCACTGTCCCCGCTCACAGGTTTACAATCCCATCCAGGAAGGATGTTTTTTTTCTCCGTGCAGAACTGGCTTGACACTTCCTGGGGCTGCTGGTGGGTTTCCTGCAGGAGCAGGGATGGTGACACCACGGCTACCCCTCACAGCTCAGCTGCTGGGGACCCACCCTGCAAGGAACTGTGGCTCTCACAGACAATGAAGCTGTGACTGATTTTACAACGTTGGTGGCTGGGGAGAGCAAAGAGACCAAGGCAAAGCTGGGACATCAGATGTGTTAGGCCCACAAAAGAAACCTGGGGAAAGATGAAGGGGTGATGCTGTGAGCTGTTTCAGGGTATGGGTGAGCAGAGCCACATCCACCCCTTTCCACTGCTTTCCTTGACACACTTGTTGAGGGAAACCCCCAGGGATGATTTTCTGTAGACTTAGAAATGGCAAAATGCTGGGGCTGGTGGTGGCAGCCCCTGGCTTGTCCCTGTGCTTGGTTTCAAATATGGGCAAAGCTGAGGGCTCTGGGAGCTGCCTAAAAACCTCCCTGGTGGATGTTGTTGCTTGGCTGAAATCTTCTGAAAAATCCCATTGTGAGGTTCCCTCCTTTGAGGGTCCTGAGGGATAGCAGTGGCTCATCTGTCCCCACAGCTTCTGAACCTGCCAACAGCTGTTGCTGGAGGAGAGGAGTTTTCAGGAATTTTTTTGATTTTGATTTGATTTTGATTTTTTTTCCCATCCTCCCAGGGATGGGAGGGCAGAGATGAGAGGTCCAGCTCCCATCCCTGCAAAGGGAATCGTGTTAGGGTGGGCACAGCCCCGTGTTAGACACCAGAGAGTCTTTGCAGTGCCTGAAGGAAACCCAGCTTCATTGCTCCACTGCTCATGGAACAACTTTTTTCCATTTTGCCTCTGAAAGAGAAAAAGGAAAAAACTTACTTTTTTTAGAGAAAAGCTCAACTTTCCGTCTTTCGGCTGCGTCGGCGAAACAAAAGGTTTGGGAAAAAAAAAATCCACAAAAAGCAGTTTCAAAAAAAAAAAAAAAAAAGGCAAAGCTGTTCCTTCCCCACTAGCAGCACCTCTTCCTCTTTTGGGCCATTCTGAGAACAAACAAGGACACGTACAAAAATAGAAAAATAATAGGGAAAAGTCTTCAGGAAACTGCAGAAGAAGGCCTGGGAATCTCCTGGTCATGGCAGTGACTTGCTCTGTAGACAGTCAGTACAGAAATTTGTGATACCAGGGATTACTAGGTATTATTAGGTATAATATTGATGTTAGGTACAAGAATTATTTGTAATTATTATGATTAGATAATTAGTTAATAATTAATCAGTATCAGGGATTACTGGTGACACCAGACAGGGCATCAGATGCCACCATAGTGAGGAGTGAGTGTATGTGAACAAGGACATTTCCCCTCTGCAAGTGAATCCAGTAAGGAGGGTGAAAGTGGCGCCTGGGAAGGCCCAGGAAGGAGCAATTTGAATGGAAAACATTGTGAAAAGCTTCAGCTGGATGGAGAACAGGCTGGGTGGGTGTGGTGCCCATTGCTTGGCCGTGGCTACCTGGCAAAAGGATGCACCGAGCCCAGCCTGTGGTGCAGAGCAAATCCTGCCAGCAGTGTTCCCAACCCAGCTGGAGCCATCCTGGGTTTTATTCACTCCAGGGTTTTATTTCCCACAGAGGCCCTGTGTTTCCTGGAGCTCCCAGGTAGTTGAAGAGCCACTCCCAAACATGCTTTGGCCTCAGAATGGAGATGTTTGTTGCTGTTTAGGAAGACAGAGAATTGTCAAGACTTTTTTTTTTTTTTTCCCCTGCTGAATTTGGCATGAAAAGGGATCAAGACTTCCAGGAAATTCTGTATCTTTGACTCCTGAAAAAAAAAAAAAAGAGTTGGCAAGTGCTGGTTCCATCATAATGCCTTAATTGCTTTTGGTATGTTGAAAATAAGGATTTTTCCCTCAACAGGGGATATTTCCCTCAATCCCTATTCCCTCAATAGAGGGATTCAAAGTGGATCTCAATGGGCTGCTGAATATGAGAGGGGAACTTTGGGGTGCTGCTGTGCCCTGTGGTCACCGGGCTCCTCCTGCTGAGGAGTGCTTGTCTCACCTCATTACCTCGATGTAGCAGTGCCCAGGACCTTTCCTGTTTGTGAGTCCAAAGCCAGTGGGGTTTGCTGCCCAGTGTTGTCACCGTCACCCCCTGTGTCACCCCCAGCAGGGCTCGCAGCTGTCACTGTGCCACATGCCCTGTCGTGTGATGCTCTTTCTGTGGCACCTTTGCACTTGGCAAATGCCACTTGTCTGGTTTTGTCAGGAAATTCTGACAAATTTGACAATTTGCCTATAATTTTGGGGTTTATTTTCCTATTTGGCTGTTTGTAAGCAAGTTTTCCCTGTTTTTTGCAGGACAGCAAAGAGCATGAAGGTTTTTTTCCCCCTTCGTGATGTTGTGGCACCTGAAAGTGATGAAGATGCCTGAGTTCATGCAGGGCCAAATTCAGTCCTGGTATAAAGAGAACCTTTGAAAACAAGGCAGTTTCTCTCTGTTGCTCTCCATGCTCTTAATTCCTAAATTGGAGACACCCTGGCATCAAACCCCAGGGGTTGTATCCTGACATTTTAACCCCACTGAGCTCAGAGACGTCTTTGGGGTGATGCTGTTGATTTGTACAGGGGCAGGTCCTGCTCCATGCAGGCCAGGGGATGTTCTTGGGGAGACCTGAGTTCATGCAGGGCCAAATTCAGCCCTGGTATAAACAGAACCTTTGACAACAAGGCAGTTTCTCTCTGTTGCTCCCCGTGCTGTCATTCCTAAGTTAGAGACACCCTGGCATCAAAACCCAGGGGCTTTTTTAACCCCATTGAGGTCAGCGACATCTTGGGGTGATGCTGTTGGTTTGTACAGGGGCAGGTCCTGCTCCATGCAGGCCAGGGGATGTTCTGGGGGTTCCTTCCCGTGTTCCCCATCTGCACTCCCCGCTCTCAGACTGTTCCGGTTGTGTTTTCAGACGTTAAGAAAGAAAGGTTTTAACGGCTGTGACAGCCCAGAGCCCGACGGCGACGACTCCATAGACCAGAGCCCCTTGATGGAGGATAAATACCGTAAAGGCAGCGAGGATCTGGATATCCTGTTCAAGAGATATGGTGTAAGTACCTGCCCGTGGCTGGAAATCCTTCATTATATGTTCTTTTCTGTTTTGTTTCTCTTCTGTTCGACTTCCCCTCGACCTCGTCCCCGCTCCCTCCCCGACACCCCCGTGTCCCCCCACACGTAACAGGCGCTGAACAAGAAGCACAGGGAGTGCGAGAGCCCGGAAGGGGATGAAGTGTTTGCGCTGACCCCGCAGACGGAAGAGAAATATAAAAAGATTGATGAGGAGTTTGATAAAATGATGCAGAGTTACCGGCTCGCAGTGAGTAGCTGGTGGCCTGCAGCCCCCTGGTCCCCTCCCCGGTGCCTCCAGGTGATGGGGGGGTGGATTTTGCATGGCTTTGCTTTGGAGCCGTGCCGTGCCTTGGGAGCCGATGCCAACAGCCCTTGCAGCCCTGAATGCACCTGGCTCTTGAGTGCCCATCCTTGGGAAAATCATTCCTACTAGCTCTGGCATTCCTGACCCTCCTTGGCTCTGGGCAGGCAGTGCAGGATGGTATTGTTTGTCTCCTCTCCTCTGCTGCAATTAGGGTCTCCTTTTTTGCCCTCTTTTCCTCAAAAACCCCAGATTTTTCTCTGGGTTAAGATCCCAGTGTTCATGTGAGCTGGTGGCGGGTGCCGACCTCTCACATCCTTGCAAATCTCAGCCTGGTTTGGGCTATTCCACATTAATTCCCCCCAAATCCACCGAGCCCTCAGGGCAGCTGGTGGCTGTGGCAGAAATCCAGCGAGGTTTTAGCCTGTGATCCCGGAGCTGTCACTGGCACTGGGGTGGCATCAGGACAGTGCTGAAAGGGATTTGTGTCAGGAGACAGGAGGAGGAGGGGGACACATTTCAAATTAGTTGTTAGTTCAAGGGAGCAGAGACTATTGATGCAGGCAAGGGCTCTTTGGGGGATTAGCCCCGAGTTGCTGCAGCAGTAATTAATGCTGCAGGAGCAGGGGGGAGGCTCCTGTCCAGGGGTGGATGCAGCACAGCAAAAATGACACACACAGCCCCACCCAAAATAATCTGCCCTTCTGTGCTTTGCAAGCCCCCACAAGTTAAAATTCTGGCTTTTGTTGAGAACTGGGCCTTGTGAAATCCCCAGGTTTTGTTTTGCTGACTCAGCGCTGTGTTGCTCCATGAGTCTCACAGGGATCCCAAAATCTGCATTTTGATCCCCTAGATCTCAGGGTGGCAGGGGTGGGGAGGCTGCCCTGAGACCTGGCAGGGCTGAGGTGGTGGAGGATGTGATGATGGAGTGCAGGTGCTGATCTCTTGCAGCTCTGCTGTGACAATGAGCTCAGCCCCAGGAGAGGCGCTCAGGGCAGGATTAGCTCTGTCAGGACATGGATCTACCTCAGCCTCCCTGGTTTCTCTAGGAGGGGTGCAGGTTCCCACCCTACCACGGTGTGTGGGGTGGGAGTAGAGCCCCAGCAGGACTTGCACTCCCACAGCACCTGGCACAAGCCCTGTCAGTGGTGGAAAACAGGCTGAAAAGCCACCTGAGCTTTGTGCTTAGTGCAGAACACCCTCGTGAGCAGGGGCTGCTCAGCCTCAGAATGTCTGCTGTGAAGGGAGGGTCCTGAGTAGATTCCCATCATCCAGACATGCCAATCCAAAGGGACAATCTGTGCCCAGAAGTCCTTTCAGCAGGTGGCATTCAAGTGCCGGGTGGCTCCTCATCAGGGCATAGCATCTGGCTCCCCCACTAAACCTCCCTGGCAGCAAGGGGCCGAGCAGTGCAGGTGGAGTGTGTGGTTGAAGAAGACGCTTTTCCATTTTAACGCTGGGTTGGTTTTGTGTGTGACCAGAACTAACCCAGCGGGGTGGCCGGGGCAGCTTAACGACAGCTGTGTCTGCTAACGAAGGACCTCGGTGGGGCTTCTGCCTCTGGGGTTTGCCCTCACTTCTAACAAGAGCAGAAATCGTGGATTTTGGCTGATGTGTGCATCTTCTCCCCCAGACTTTGGACCGGTGTGCAAACCGCCATTGTGCCCTCTCCAGGGCTGGGTGTCCTGGGTGTGCCGGGGCAGTGTCAGCCTGACACCTGCCTGCAGGTGCAGTGGGCTGCAGCTGCATTAAGGCAAACCTCAGCTCTTGGGCTGGTGTATCAGCTCACAGCTCTACCACGGCGTTGCTCAGCCGTGGTGTGAAGGAGCTTCAGCTCTTCCTCTCCCTCCCTGGGAGCGCTGCGCGCACACGGACGCGTTGGCAGTGATTTATTACACAACGCTGCTCCGGTGTTCGTGCAACGCCCAAGAAACCTTCCTCCTCCTCCTCCTCCTCCTCCTCTGATTCTGCTGCCGTGCAGGATGAGCTCCCGGGCTGAGCAGAGGGAGGGCTCCGTGTTCCAGCTCTCCCTGGTGGTGTAGGAGTTGCTGAGCCCCAGGAGCGGTGCCACGGCGCAGGCTCAGAGCCGCTGTCCTCGCGGCTGGGCTGCGGCCGCGGGATATCTCTGAAGGACAGGATGCCCTTGGCAGGCAGGTGGGGAGAGTTCCTGGCAGGGAGGCGTGGGTGAGCACTGTCCTACTCCTTCCTGCCATCCCTCTCTCACCTAAGGAGCAGGACCTATACAGGAGCAGATTTTTGGAGGAGAAGGGGCTGCAAGGCAGCAGGGACATGCACCAGCTGCAGTGGGGAGACCTCAGCTCCCTCTTCCCTTGCTGGTGCAGCCTGTGGGGTTCCACCTCTGGCCCCATGATGGTCCCATTCAGTGCCAGGCTACTCTCCCTCTGCATCCCGGAGCGAATTAAAGTGGGACTTAAGCAAAGCCCGTGCTAAAGCCTCTAAGCAGGTGCCAGCTCCTGTTAACGAAGAGCAAATCAGTGACATAAGACAAACGGCTGGGATAATCGCAGCGGGTCTGGCTCCCACGGGACGCTGGTAGGTGAAGCTGCTCCTCAACCTGCAGCCAAGGATAGGGCTTTAGTGATGCTCCTGCATCCCTGGGGTCAGCTCATCCTTCCCAACAACTCCCAGAGGAGACAGGAGGGATCCCAGAGTCACCCAGGGGCTCTGTGGAGCAAAGTGAGTCTTTCCCAGGTGCTCAGCCACCAGCTGCAGTGCCAGCCCAGAATGGGGGTCCACTGCTGGCTTCCTGCTGGCTGAGGAATGGCCTCATAGAATCCTGCTTGGGGTGAAGGGTAGTGCCAAGGTTGGCTGCTCTTGGTGCTGGTGGGGGCAGACCACCAGGCTTGTGCCCACCTTCATGCTCATGCCTGCCCTGAAAACACAGGAGGTAAATAAACAAAGCCTGAAAAAGAGGCCAGAACAGCTGTTTGCAGAGCTCAGGTGTATCCAAGAGGATGGCCTGCTGCTCTTCCTGGTGTTCCCTGGTGGGGAACTGGGCTTGGGTGCATCCCCTGCCCGGTGCCAGTGTGGGTTTGAGCACAGCACTGCAGGTCAGCAGTGCAGGTTTGAGGAGCCTGACTGTGCCCCCTTGGTCAGCAGCTGTGCTGTGCTGCAGGAACTGTTCCTGGCATTCCCTGGTGGGGAACTGGGCTCAGGTGCATCCCCTGCCAGGTGCCAGTGTAGGTTTGAGCACAGCACTGCAGGTTTGAGGAGCCTGACTGTCCCCCCCTTGGTCAGCAGCTGTGCTGTGCTGCAGGAACTGGGCTCCCCTTTACCCCCTGCTCTGTGTTCAGTCCACAGTGCCCGCTCCGAACTTCGCCATGCCCGTGACGGTGCCGGTGACCAACCAGAACACGCTGCAGTTCAGCAACCCGGGCAGCTCGCTGGTGACCCAGTCCCTCGTCACCTCGTCGCTGACAGACCCCCGGCTCCTGTCCCCACAGCAGCCGGCCTTGCAGAGGAACACGGTGTCCCCAGGGCTGCCACAGCGGCCAGCCAGTGCAGGTGAGCCACGCTGTGCCCCTTGGCACCCTCGCCTCCTCGTCCTGCCTGCCTGGGCTTGCAGCACCCAGCATGGGGCATCCCTGAGGGAGGGGACACCCCTGCTGCTTCCATCCCCTGTCCAGGAGTTCACATTCCACCACCTGTGGGTGGCAGAAGCATCCTGGAAGAATTGCTGCCCCTTGGTGTGTGCTCCTGCCCTCCTGCCAGCCATTGATGCCCTGTTTGTGCCTTGGCCCCAAACTGAGAGCAACCTCCCCACCTTACCTAGATCTCTCTGAGAGCTGGATCCCTGCTGGATCCTGCAGGGATCTGTGTTGGGTTGGGCAGTGCAAGATGAGTCACCTGGCACCGTTCCCAGGCTTGGGGGTGGTGCTGGCATCCCACTTGCTGGTGGCACTCTGGTGACATGGGTCTGGCTGCCTAAAAAGGGCTGTTCTGAGTCGGGCCGTGCTGGTTGCAGTTGGCTGTGGGCGATTGCTCATGTGGCTCTGCTGACAGATCTGAGGAGCAGTCATTTCCAGCAGGGACCAGCAATGGCTGGCACAGGACAGGCTGGGGGAGAGGAGCTGTCACCCACATCCCCTGCAGTGGCAGGGGGGGACAGGGACCACGTGTGACCACAGCCCGGCTCTCTTTTATGATAATAAATAATATTTCTGCTAATTTGGATGTCACAGACGGTCCGTAAAAGTCACCTGGGCTGCAAATGGCAGAACTGGTGCCAGTGACCACCTGGACATTTGGGTCCTCAGCTTTGGCCCCTGGGGCTTTGAGAGCTCCAGGGAGCTTTGCAAAGGGGATGGATTTAGAGAGAAGGCTGGGAGGTGCTTCCAGAAACAGGTTGTGTGGTGGGTCAGGGTGAGCAGGAGGAATGGCCTGGCTGGGATGCAGCAGGAACTGTGGTTCAGAAACAGCTTGCTTGCTCACTGCTCTCACCACTGTCTCCAAGGTGCTTAGAGTACTCAGGTGTCAGGATGAGGCCCCAGAGCTGCAGGAGAGGGTTCATTCTGCTCTAGGACTGCTCCCAGGGAGCAGCATTTCACTGCAGGCAGGGTGGCAGAGCCCTCCTCGGGCACAGGCAGCCATTGCTGCAGCTGCAGGGATCTCCTGCCCTCTCTGAGGCCCCTCAGCTGAGAGCAGAAGAGGTTCCTGGTAAAGCAGACCCCTCTGGGGGCTCGCTGTTTCCAGCTCACTCCCTGCTCGTTTGAGGGGGATCGTTTTGCGGTTGCGAGCGCAGAGGTGTTCCAAGTCCGGCCATCTGTGTCTCATTCACTGGCTGCCTGGGACACGGAAGAAATCCTGTTTATAGGAGCCAGGGCCTTGCATGTTAGAAAATCTCCTTTTTTTTTTTTTCCCCCTAAATTTTTTTTAGCATTGCACCAGAGCTGGTTGTGTTGTTTCCAAAGCAAATGCACAGCGAGTGCTGGGTGGGAACCCTGACAGTGCCTGGTGCTGCTGGCTCGGGGATGGTGTGGGAGAAGAGCAGCCAAGGGGGGGTGTACGGGGCTGGCGTGGGGTTGGCATCACTCACCCAAGGAGGTGAGCCCTCTTTGGCACCATAGGCACCAGAGCCTGGGGTGCAAATGGGGTCCCACAGCAGGGCACAGCCACAAAACCCTGCTGGAGTCCCTTCTCTGGGACTTTGGGGACACGGGGACCTCTGGCTTTGCATCCCCATCCCTTGAGGGGGGGTGCTGCAGTGTCATGCTTGCCACAACTAGTGGGTCACTTCACCCTTTCTCAAGCCATACAATTTTTGGGACCAACCCTGCTCCCATATGGGGAGCAACTGTGCTTCCCTGCACGGCAACAGCTCAGCCCTCCCACCCTCCTCCAGCTTTCAGGGGCTCGCTGCGAGCCCAAAGCTGCGAGCCACGGGCTGGAGGATAAAGATTCGTGTCTCAGGTTTCCCCATCTGGGTAGAGAAGGGCTGGGCAGTGGTTAGAGGTGGGGTTTGGCACCGAAAGCCCCTTGGTGGCCAGCCCAGGGCTCCGAGTTGACTGCGGTCGCAGCTCCGGAGCCTCCGCGCCGGCTCTTGGCTGCAGTCGCCGCCCGCGGCGTGGTCAGGCAGCCCCGGCTGGGGAATAGGTGGCTTTCAGAAATAACTTCATAACAAGGCAGAAGAAAGATCAAGTCTTCTTCCAGGAGAGGCAAAACGTTCTGGTTTTTGGGAATAAAAAGGTCCAGTTTTTCCCAGTCTGGCGGGGAGAGTCAGCGCTTTGCTGCAAGTGTTGGGACCATGGAGTCGGGATCGCTGTGGCGTCCTGGCAGTGTGGGATGGTTTCCATTAGGTGTGAACATTACAGGGGGGATTTTGTTTCCTGTCATGCTGCTGGGGCTCTCTCTCCCCCAGCAGCACCAGCCCCGTGTCCTCCAAAGGGGGGTTTGGAATAAAATAGCTGCAGTGTTTTCCAAGCTGCCTCCTTTGGAACAGGCTCCTGTGCACCTGGCTCCTTCCCAAAGGAAACGGATCTGCCTGGATAACGTTTCCCAACCTGATCACCAGGAATGCTGCTCCTTTTGCCCAGGACTTTCTCCCTAGGAAGGCAGCCCTGCTTTTTTTCCTCTACCTTCCTCCACTGTGCTCCCTGCCTTCCTGGCCCCCCAAAAGCAGGGATGCTCGCCCTGTTCCTGCAGTGATGGTGATCCCATCTCTCCTCTTGCTTTCCAGGGGCGATGCTTGGGGGAGACCTGAACAACACGAACGGAGCCTGCCCAAGCCCCGTGGGTGAGTAAGGAGCCTTTCAGCCAGTGCCCCTGGCTCCATGTGACACTCCTGCCCTCGGTTTCCCCACACCTCCCATGGGATTTTGCTTTGGTGTTGAGTCCTGCTGGTCCGTAGGGAAGCACTCGGGAAGATTTTGCTGCTCTTGGCAGTGGGAGGGGTTGGCATGTGGAGCTCCAGGCCAGTGCCTTTGTTGGAGGTGCTGGTTTCAGGGGGTTTCAGTGGAGTCCCCCCAGTGACCAAGCAGTCTCCATCTACCCAGGATTCCAGGGAGAGCTGCAGAGCAGGGAGGTGACCCCCAAAGACCAGGATTTGGGTAGCTCTGGGTTTAGCTCCTGATGCTGCAGCCAATTCTCCGCCTTCCTCGGGTGATCAATTAACACCCAGTTCCTCCTCGTGCCTGGGCCCTATAAAGGAACTTTACTGCAAGGAAAAGAAGCTCATTAAGGGCCTTTTCCACTGTGAGAGCCTCAGTGCTAATGAGGCTCAGGCCTCATGGCTCAGCTCCTCAGCTGTAAAATGCACTAACAATATCTCCATCCCCACATCTGCCTCTGCCATCTGCAGGCTGAGGATGTTGGGCCACTGCTGGTGTAGGCACAGCCCAAAAACCAGTGACGGCCCTGGGTACTGCTGGGAAGCAGCTGCTGCTCTTGGCACTGGGCTTGGCAGTGGTCCCAGGCTTGGCAGGGTAGATGCCATCCATCCCAGGGCAAAGGCAGCCTTGCTCCTGAGCCTGACTCCTCACCCCTTCTGGGCCTTTTTGCAGTAGGGGCCCAGCCGACAGCGCAGAGGAGGAGTGTGGAATTCCACACTGGCCCAGTTAAAACCAAACTGGAGCCAGGTCCCACTGGTTTTTGGGTGGGGTTGGTCCAGTTGTGATTCTGCAGCACTGTGGCCACCCAACCCCATTCCCTGCACTCTGGCTACTGCCAGGATTTGCCATTTCCCTGCGCTGGGCAGCACCAGAGGGATTTCTTCACAGAGCCAAACCTGCGGGGGTGGTCTGTGGGGCAGTGTCTCCCTGGGCTCTCACAGCACCCAGCACGGAGCTGTGCTGATCCTTGAGGGCAGAGAGAAGGGGCCATCGTGCCACAGCCCCCAGGCACCTCCGGGCCCCCGTTCCCCGCGGCCGCCCCCATGTCAGCTGTCGGAGCAGCCATGGCGGGCGCGGAGCTTGGCAGGGCCCGTGAATGTCAGCATTGACGTCAGCCAAGCATTCCCTGCGTTCCTGCTGCCACTGCAGGAAACGGGGCTGGGGAGCAGGGACAGCCCGGCTGTGGCCAGCCCCGGAGCCCTGCTGTCCCCAGACCCCCGCCCTCCCTGGGGCTCCCCTCCTGCCTGCGGGAGGGGACTGTGGCTCTGGCTGCGGTTCTGGCACTGCGCTTGCAGTTTTCAAATACCTGGTACGTCTCTTCCTCCTCCTCCTCCTCCTCCTCCTCCTCCTCCTCCTTCTCCTCCCTTGCAGTCTCTGCAGCACTGAGTGATCACCTGCTGCCTCTGAGTCATCAGCTGCGGGTGCCTGTGGCCGGATCCTGCAGTGATGTCGCTGTATCCCTGCATCCTGCCCACGCTCTGTGTGCCACCCTCGGGATGCAGCACCCCGACCACCCCACCCAGCCCGTGGGGGGATGCTGAGCCCTGAGTGTCCCCGCTCAAATTCACACCAGGGTGGTGCAAAGGCAGGCCAGAGGGCTCCTCTTGTAGACTCTTTTTGTGGTGGGGGCCCTTGGTTGGGAAGTCCTGGTGGGAGTGTAGCCCTTCTCTCTCTGGCTCACAGGGCTGGCCGGATCCATGCTGGGTGGACATGGCAATGACAGCAGCAATGACAGCCCAAGGCCACCCATCTTTGGGGGTGAGTGGCACCACTGGAACCCAAACCAGCTCCTCTCCAGCGCAGGGAGCCACCCCAACCCACGCCCCAGGTGATACAGAGATAACATGGTGTGCCTCAAACAGGGAGTCACCATGAGAGCCCCGTGTGCACCCATGCCGGTGGTGCCTTGGGAAGGAGAATATCAAAGGGTTTAACGTTTCTTTAGGCTTTTCCATGGCCTTGGGAAGGAGAATGTCAAAGGGTTTAACATTTCTTTAGGCTTTTTCCATGGCCACCAGCACTGCAGGTCACCTGAGGAATTTCTGCACCTTTGTTGTCAATACATCTAAAAGCCAGTGAATCCTTGTGAGCAGGATTCCAGCAGCTCACGGTGCACAGAGGTGCCAGGGCCTGATGCACCAGGCACGTGCCTTGTGCTCAGTGATTTGGGACTGGGAGGACACCTCGCTGGGGACAGGAAGGCCGGTCCCCTCCCTCCATCAGGGACATGAATGCCACACTTGCCAGCCTGCAGCAGCCCGGCCACCACGGGTGTCCCTGACGGTGGCTCCCCGCTGGGGCAGCACCTCCCGTGCCCGGTGCCATCCGTGGCATCAGAGGGGAGCATTGCCACCCCCGTGCCCGCTGTGTCCAGCCCAGGACAGCCCCAGGGGGGCAGGGTTGGTGCTCAGCCCCCCACTCTGAGGCTGCAGCCGCCTGCTGAAATGCAGATGCAGCGCAATGCTGGATGTGATTAATAATGCAATCAGCGACCTATTTTTCCCGGTCTAACGTGCAATGAATATGAGGGCTGAATCCTGGTGATTGCTGAACGCCTTTCTATCTTTGGGGCCTATTCATGAAAAAAAACCAGCCCTCATCAGAACAGTAATCTGATCCAATTTATTCCTTTCCTGATGTTCATCAAATCTTTTCCTTTTTATTTTTTTTTCTTCCTTTCCTTTCTTCTTTTTTTTCCCCCTCTCTTTGCACATAAAATCCTTAAGTGGGGCAGCAGGAGGAGGAGAAGGAGGGAACCTTAGATCTTCAAAGGGGCAGTGGGAGCAGTGAACTGAGTCCTCACTCTGCCACAGCCCCTTTTCACTGCCCCAGTACCATAAAGAGACCTTAAAAGTGAATGTGTCAGTAATTACCCATCTTGGCAGGGCTGCGGTGCCCAGCCAAAGCAGGGAAAGAGCCTGGCTGCAGATCAGGCTCTGAGATTTGCTGGGTGTTACTGCAGGAACAAGGGGGAGTCCCTGCAGCTTGAGGAGCTGCCCTGAGCACTGTGGGCTTGGGGCTACTGCCTGTCCTGGCTCCACCCCTCAGGGTGAGCCTGCCGGGGTGCAGGAGGGTTTTGGGGAGCCTAGGGGGTGTGGTGCTGCTCTCCCACGAGGAGGAGCACTCATGGAGCCCCAGTGCAGCACCACAGCTTGTGCATTCACCATGGCAGTGTGTTCACCACCATGCATTCACCATCGCCCCGTGTTCACCATCACCACTGCCATGCATCCAACCTTCACCTCCTTCCTCTCTGTCCCCCATATTCCTGCAGGAAATGGCTACGTGAGTGCCAGAGCCTCTCCGGGTCTCCTTCCCGTGTCCAATGGCAGCAGCCTGGGCAAGATCATCCCGGCCAAGTCGCCGCCGCCGCCCTCGCACGGCGCGCAGCTGGCGGCCAACAGCCGCAAGCCCGACCTGCGCGTCATCACCTCGCAGGGGGGAAAGGGGCTCATGCACCACCTGGTGAGTGCCCAGGGGCTCTGGGGGCACCACGGGGCTGGGAGGGGTGCCAGCGGACAGGCTGCAGCACAGGGGAGTTTGGGGATCTGGTGGTGGGAGCTGGCTGGGGCTGTGCTGGAGGGGAGATCTGAGGAGGAAGGCTTGGGTTCCTGGCTGCACTGTCCTGCAGCAGGCACCACTCTGAGCTGTGTGCCCCACGGGTGGGGCAAACCATGTACCAGACACCACTCTCAGCTGTGTGTGCCCCATGGATCGTACAAACCCTGTACCAGACACCACTCTGAGCTGTGTGTGCCCCATGGAAGGTACAAACCCTGCAGCAGGCACCACTCTGCGCTGTGTGTGCCCCATGGATGGCACAAACCCTGTCCCAGGCACCACTCTGAGCTGTGTGCCCCACGGGTGGGGCAAACCATGTACCAGACACCACTCTCAGCTGTGTGTGCCCCATGGATCGTACAAACCCTGTACCAGACACCACTCTGAGCTGTGTGTGCCCCATGGAAGGTACAAACCCTGCAGCAGGCACCACTCTGCGCTGTGTGTGCCCCATGGATGGCACAAACCCTGTCCCAGGCACCACTCTGAGCTGTGTGCCCCACGGGTGGGGCAAACCATGTACCAGACACCACTCTCAGCTGTGTGTGCCCCATGGATCGTACAAACCCTGTACCAGACACCACTCTGAGCTGTGTGTGCCCCATGGAAGGTACAAACCCTGCAGCAGGCACCACTCTGCGCTGTGTGTGCCCCATGGATGGCACAAACCCTGTCCCAGGCACCACTCTGAGCTGTGTGCCCCACGGGTGGGGCAAACCATGTACCAGACACCACTCTCAGCTGTGTGTGCCCCATGGATCGTACAAACCCTGTACCAGACACCACTCTGAGCTGTGTGTGCCCCATGGAAGGTACAAACCCTGCAGCAGGCACCACTCTGCGCTGTGTGTGCCCCATGGATGGCACAAACCCTGTCCCAGGCACCACTCTGAGCTGTGTGTGCCCCATGGAAGGTACAAACCCTGCAGCAGGCACCTCTCTGAGCAGTTAGTGCCCCATGGAGGCACAGCTGGAGGGGTGAGGTGCCAGTGGGCACGGTGCAGGGGGGGTGGGCTGTGTGAGTTAACAGTGCCTCTCGGTTCTCTCCCTGTTCTCCCCTGGACAGACCGAGGACCACCTGGCTCTGGTGAGTTCCCCTCTGGGCGTGCATGGCACACGGGCTGCTTGTCCCCTCGCTCCTGCCCTGGCTTGGCGAGGCATGGGGCGCACAGAGGGGGTGGACACTGGCTCCCTGTGTTGGGAATGTGGCAGGATGTGGGCACCAGCGTTACATCCACTCCTGCTGCAGAAAATAAATCCCGAGAAAAACAGGCTCTTAGGAAAACCCAGTTCCCTATGGGAAAGAAGGGGCTGGCATGAGCTGCAAAGAGCCTGTTTCTCCACCAAGGCCAAAATTGCTGTGTTGGTCCCCCTGGGGAGGTCAGCCAGGGTCCCTTTGGGGACTGTGCACTGCCCTGGACCTGCCCGTGGGGCTGCACTGGAGGCACCACAGCTACAGCACAGGGAGACCTGGCCCATTGCCAGCACACGTGAGACAGGGAGTAAATCAGGCTCTTCCCATATTAAAGATATTATTTAAAGCCTGTGTAAATCCACTGGCTGGCTAGTGCACTCCCTAAACCTCCCTTGTGCACAGGGCAGTTTTCTGTGTTATTTTTATGGCTTTTTTTCCTCTCCCTGCCAGCAAAGTGAATGCCACCTTGTTTGTGGCAAGGATTCACTCTGCTCTGTTGCTATTCTGGTGCAGGGCAGATGGGTGACAGGTCAGCCCAGCAAGGGAAGGGCAGGAGCTGCTGTGGGATGCAGGTCACACAGCCAGGGAAAAGCTCTCCAAAAACGCAGGAGAAAGCCAATCCCTCTGGCAGCCTGCACCGAGACACTCTTGGCCAGGGCAAGGATGGGCCAGAGCTCTGGCAGACAGGAATTCTGCTGCTCTTCGTGTCCCCAAACCCTTCTTGCTTAGTGGCCTCCTTCCAGTGTCTCTGTGCCTCAGTTTCCCCATGTGTGGAGGGAGACCAGTCCTTCCCCACCTCCCCATCTGCTCGTTCCTGATCCCTCTGCCCAGGCCATTCCCTGGCTGCAAACTGAAGCAGCAGTAGGTGGAAATCCACTGGGGTGGCATTTGTGGTTTTAATTGTCGGTCTGAATTAACCTGGTGGGGTTTTGCCTGGAGTGAAAAACCTCCTCTCCCCGGCCAAGGTGGCAGCAGTGAGGTGGAGGCTGGTGAAATGTGGCCAGGGTGGCACAGGCACCTTGGCACTGCTGCATCAGGAAGGGGACTGCAGGGTGTTGTCCCTGTTGTCCCTCCTGCCTGGTGCAGATGCCCCCCTGCTCTGCTAACCTTCTCCCCAGATTTGCTCCCTCCGTATTGCTCAGCCTACACAGCAGATCCTCTCTCCAAATGGCAGCTCCCACCTCTTCCCAGGCAGCTGTGAGATGAGTCAGAATCCCTCCACTGCGTCCCCACTGCCCGCAGCCCCAGCCCTGCCACCCTCAGCGCTGCTCCTGCAGCTCTGAGCATGCTCTCCTCCCTCACAGGCTTCAGAGAGGTGACCCCCAGTTCTCTCCACTCTCCTGCCACTCCAGGGGCAGCAGGGTCCATCCACTGGATCCCTTCCCTGGGAGCATGCTGCATGGTGTGGTACCAGCTGGAATGGCAGCTGGGAGCGTTGTGTGTGGGCACGGTGTGGGGGGCAGCTTGCACACCTCCTCCCTGCATGGATTGTGGTGAAAATCAGGGTGCTTCCCCCAGCACAGCTGGGGCTGACGTCCCCACACTCACCTTGTGGTGTCAGGGAGGTTCCTGGGGCTGGCACAGCCTGCCCAGCTGGTGTCCCACCCTGTGGCATGGCACACTCATCCCTGTGCCCTGCCAGGAAAGGCACAGAGCCCTGCAGAGAGGGGCAGAAGGGATGGGGCTGTGGGGGCTGCATCCCCCTGGTCTCAGGCAGGCAGGACAGGGACAGGGCTGTGCCTTCTGGGAACACATTCCTTGCCATGTCCTTAACCCAGGGCAGTGGGCACGGCCAGCAGGATGCGTGCCAGGAACACCCTCTCCTGCAGCCCCCCCAGCTTCAGCAATTAGAGCCTGGTAATCTCCTTGCCCAGGCCACAGGAGGGCCCTGGGGCTGGGCAGTGTGTGGGTGCAGGGTGAGCAAATCCTGCACAGCCAGGTGCTCTTTCCCTCTGCAGGTGGCCAGGGCAGGGTTCTAGCCTCCAGCCTTGTCCCAGAGAGTCTCTCCGGCCATGGGGAAGCGTGGCAGAGCTTGTGCCCAGCCCTGCAAGGCCCTGGGAGCCCTCAGCTGCACGGGAAGGCTGCTCACTGTGCCCCAGCCAGCCTCGTGCCAGGCGTGGTTGAAGCTGGGCACTGCCCAGTCTTGGCAGGGGGACGTGTGCTGGGGTGCTTCGGATTAGAGTCAAGCCTCTTGAGGCTGCTTTAAATCAGATCAGCAGAGACAGCCCAGATTATCTGCCTTGTAAACAGGGCTGAATCTGACCTATAGATCTGCCCACATAACTGCCTGGAAAACCAGGGGGGGAGGTTGGTGTGCACCAGTCCAAGGGCAGAATTTTTCCACGGTGGACCTGCTAATACCTGAGTCACCAAAACCTTGTGAGGGCACCAAGCCAGCAGGCTGCTGGGCACTGGACTTTGAGTTTAGTGATTCCAGAGACCCTTTAAAATCCTGAGGCCAATGCTTAGTGTCCTCAGCTTCCCTTGGCCACCAGATTTGCAGGGAGATGTTGGCTCTGTGCTGCCTCAGCCGGTCTTGGTTTGCTTTGGTCCCTTTGTCACTCCTTGGAAGCTCAGCAAGCCTCACATGCAACCTCTGGAAAGCAGTGAGGAATTGTCTGAGGCCTCCTGCTGATGTTCCCCCTCCGTGCACACAGGGGCATGGCTGGTGCTGGTGGGTGAAGCCCAGCCCTGGGCAGGAAGGGGACTCAGGGCCATGACCTGCAGATGAGTGTTGCAAGGTCCACAGTGTCAGTAGCTGGTGTGGTTTGTACTTTGCCTTTTTGCAGTGTGGAATGGCCAGAGGATCAATCCTGCCTGTCCCACAGTCTCCATGCTCAGACCCAGTGCATGCCCAGGGGGTCTGGGGGGGCCACAACCCCTGAAGATGACCAAGTCTGACCATCTGGGCTTTAACTCCCTCCCTGTTTGTTCCCACAGCAAAACACACAGCGGTTGGGTGTCTCTCAAGCAACTCACTCTCTGACCACACCAGTTGTTTCCGTGGCGACTCCGAGTTTGCTGACACAGGGGCTGCCCTTCTCAGCCATGCCCACAGCATACAACACAGGTAAGACATGGCCAGGGCAGGGCTGTAACACAGGAGAGACATGGCCAGGGCAGAGCTCTGACACAGGAGAGACATGGCCAGGGCAGGGCTGTAACACAGGAGAGACATGGCCAGGGCAGAGCTCTGACACAGGAGAGACATGGCCAGGGCAGAGCTGTAACACAGGAGAGACATGGCCAGGGCAGGGCTGTAACACAGGAGAGACATGGCCAGGGCAGAGCTCTGACACAGGAGAGACATGGCCAGGGCAGGGCTGTAACACAGGAGAGACATGGCCAGGGCAGGGCTCTGACACAGGTAAGACATGGCCAGGGCAGGGCTGTAACACAGGAGAGACATGGCCAGGGCAGGGCTCTGACACAGGTAAGACATGGCCAGGGCAGGGCTCTGACACAGGTGCCAGGGCAGAGCTCTAAGCAGGCAGGACCTGGCAGGACAGAGCTCTAAGCAGGCAGGACCTGGCAGGACAGAGCTCTCAGGTAGCTCAGTCACAGAGGGAAATGTGCTGCTGCAGGCACATGCCTGGTGCTCCCCATCAGCTGCAGTGATGCTGGTGGAACTCTCCACTGCAACACATGGTTGAGTGCCAGGGTTCCACAGGACTAAAACCAAGGGGAAACTCATTGTGTAAGTGGTGAGAGCTCATTGTCATAGCCAGAAGGGCTGTGAGGGCTGATGCAGCCCATTGCACTGTGCAAGTGGATGCTAATTACAGCTACACCCATCCCCGGGCTCTCAGAGCTCAGGGGGTGTTGTAATAATGACAACAAGTCCCTCAAAAAGTTTGGGAAGAATGCAAACCAACCTGCTCACAGACACATTGATTTGGGCTGCTGGATTGAAATCAGCCTGAGGCGACAGTGACAGTGCACTTGCCCAAGCAGAAGGGTTGTTCATCTGCCACCTGTCAGACCTCCACCAAGACTTTGAGGGCTTGCTGGCTGCCTGTGTAACTTGTTCTGGCTCAGAGAAAAGTTTGCAGAAATGTAAAAAAGCTGCTTGTCTGGAAGAACCCAGAACTGGCACGTTGGATACTCCCTCTCCTAATTAGTAGGTGTAGCCCCAGCGATGCCGGTGCTCCGTGATGAGGCTCCTCTCCCTGCGTGACCATGCGGTTTACCAGCCAGCCTGGGCACAGCCAGAGTCCCCAAAATAGTTTTAATTGAGCCCTGTGCTGCTGCTCAGAGCGGAGGGGCCTGAATTTCACCTCCCTGGAGTTATTTTTTCTCACAGCTGACCATGGCTGAGCTCTGTTCCTGCCCAGGTGCTGTGGGGGTGAGCCCAGGTGCTGAGGGGCTCTGCTGTAGGGGGCAAACTCTGAACCTGGCAGTTCTACCACAGCTGCCCTGTTGGTTGGGTAGGAATTGTCTTAATTTGTGAAGGGTCTGGAGCACAAGGACCTCAGCCTGGAGAAAAGGAGGCCTGGGGGGATTTTGTCACTCTCCACAACTCCCTGACAGGAGGGGACAGCCGGGGAGGGGAGGGAGGTTGGGCTCTGCTCCCGGGTAACAAAGGGCAGGACAAGAAGAGATGGCCCCAGGTTATGCCAGGGGAGGTTTAGGTGGGTTATTAGGGAAAATTTCTGTGTGGAAAAGGTGTTCAGGCTTTGGAACAGGCTGTCTGAGGCAGTGGTGGTGTCACCATGCCTGGGAGGGCTTAACAGATGTGACTGTGACACTTGGGGACATGGCTTAGTGGTGGCCTTGGCAGGGCTGGGGGAAAAATTGGACCCAATGGTCTTGGGCAGCCTTTCCAGCCTAAATAATTCCGTGATTCTGTGATGCTGCAGAGGTGATCATTGTGTAAGGTGGAGGGCTGCAGATGCCCTGAGCAAACTCCCAGCCTGGAGCATTGCCACTTATTCTTCCCAGGACTCAACTGTTAGTTGGGTGGGTATTGCCTGGATTCCAGGCTGGTGCAGCTGTGCTGAGCTGCCCTCTGGTCAGAGTTCTGTGCCCTTTCCTGTGCTGGGCTGTCAAACCTGCCCATTCCCTGCTCTGTGACCTGGGGCAGCTCCAGCTCAAGCCCTGGTGGGGGCTGCAGGGGCAGCCACTGCCCCCAGTGAGTGTCAGGAGCTCCCAAACCAGAACAGCTGGTGCAGGGGGTGGAGGGTGGTGTGGAGCAGGGAGCCCCGTGCCAGGATATTGGGTGGGGTGTGCCGGGGGTTTGGCAGCAGTTCAGCAGCAGCACAGCCACCTCTGTGTGTGCTGCTGGGGTGGGGACAGCTGAAACCACGAGACACCCAAAATTAGAGCTAGAAGGGGGGAGGAGAGGGTGTGAGGAGGGTTTGCTGGGTGTCTGTGTCAGCCTGACATGGCTGACCAAGGTTTGGCCATCTCCTCAAGGAGCAGCACTTTCCTCTCTGGCTTTCTCCACCAGCATTCACACCCTGTGTAAAATCCTCCCTGGTATGAGTGCCCCTCTGGGGTTTTCAGTGGGCTCTGGATGGGACAGGCATTGCCCTGCAAGGGTGGGGGGGAGGTACCGGGGCATGGGGGG